AACTCACTTGGTAGCCCAGGCTGGCCTCGAACTCACAGAGATCCGCCTGCCTCTGCCTCCCAAGTGCTGGGATTAAAGGTGTGCGCCACCACCCGGCTAAGCTCCTAATTTGTAAAGGAGACAGATAAACTAAAAAGAGGTTTGCTCACCAAAGCCCCCAAATTAGCCAGACATGGTGGTACACACCTGTAACTCCAGAACTTAGAGGACTCTGACACAGGAGGATGGCCATGAGTTTGAGGCCAGTCTGTGCCACACAGTACTAAACCAGCCAGGGCGACAAAGCCAGACTCAAGACAACAGCCACCGCTGTGAAGCTGGGACGCGGGAAAATGTCTTTGAGACTGAGCAGGAATGAGAGCCACACAGGCATGTGTTGGTTGTGTCATCTACACCCCAAAGGCACACGGAAGTCACCCATTGGGAAATTAAAGTCAAGAGAAAAACGTAGCCACTCAGGAGACAGAAAAGACAGAAGATGTAAAAGGATTCCTGGGAGGTTTTAAAAGACTGAAGAACAGGTAGAAACTGGGTGTGGCAGCCACACCTGGAGTCCCCACTACAGAGGAGACTGAGGCTCAGGGTCACTCAGTAGGAATTGGAGACCAGCCTGGGCCGTGCAGCAAGACCTCCCATCTAAAAGCAAAAATTTAAATATTTTAAAAGTTGACTAATCTTCACATTTTTAAAAGAATACAAATATCCAAGTATACATATTTATAGCCATTATTTATGAAAGAACAAATAGGAACAGACTCCCGAAACAGCAAAACCAAAAAACATACAGTTCAATTTGGATCAATGTCACGGAGAGAAAGATGTCTAGGCTGGCTTGGCCCGCAGGTAACCTAGGGTGACAGCTCTGGGCGCACTCTGAGAGTGTGTTCACTCAGTCTGTTCACAACCATCAGGATTGCTGACAGACGAGGAAGAGGGAGTCCCAGGTCACCTCCCTAGAGCAGCAATCACAGTACAAGGTCAGGGCTTTGCGTCCCTGGCACCTTCCTACCAGCCGAGGGGCTGACAGAGTATTTATTATGCCCTCAGTAAAACTGTTGATGAGAAAAATATGTTTGCCTTCAGTTTTCATTGAGAAGACAGAGTTGTTTGAGTAACCTGCCTAATCTGTCTTCCTACTGAGTGACGGCCCCTTCTCGCCTTTCCCTAAGGCAGCTCTTTATTCAGAAGAAAATGCCCATGGCGGTGTGTTGCTCTGTATTTATATAATTAATTCACAGGGCTGTCAGGAATCCTGATGATCTGGAAGCAAGGTCTAGTATGCACTTGGCAAGTGCTTTCGCTGGCATCGGCTTTGGAAATGCTGGTGTTCATCTGTGGTAAGTGACCATACAATTTCTTCTCTTAACTTGAGGTACTGCTTCTAAATTTTAATATATATAACTCAGGACAAGTGACAGGTTTTCAATATGCTATACACTGGAGAAATCTAAGGTTTCCCAAATATTTTCTTAATTTGAATTCATTTAATTAGTTCATGGATTTCTTATAACAGCTTTTAAAATGCAATTCATATCCTATACAGTCTACTCATTTAAAACATATATAATTCAGTGGTTTCTAATCTCTGCACAAAGTCCTGCAACCTTTAGTTTTAGAACATTTTATTACCCCCGTAAAAAAAAAAAAAAAACATCCCCACATCCTCAGCTACTGCTCACCAAAGCCCATACACACCTCCCTCAAAGCTTCGAGACCACTGAGCACCTTTCCATCTCTCTGGAATTCCCCACTTGGGGCATGTCATAGACATGAAAGCACATGGTCCTCTATCTACCATGCTTTATTTAGATACTGTTAGGACCTGACGTCACTTCTTTTTCTGCCAAATAATATTCTACTGTATGGAGATGCCACGTTTTCTTTTCTTTTTCAAGACAGAGTTTCTCTTTATAGTTCTGGCTGTCCTAGAACTCACTCTGTAAACCAGGCTGTCCTCGAACTCACAGAGATCCTCCTGCCTCTGCCTCCTGACTGCTGGGATTTAAGGTGTGCACCACCACTGCCTGCCTGAGATACTACATTTTATTTGACTTGTTATCAGTTGGTGGACATTTGTTGCTATGAGTAATATTCTGTACACGTTTTTGTGTGCACATTTTTATTTCTCTTACTTGGTACAAATGAATGGGATTTCTGGATCTATGGCAATTTTGTATTAATTTTTTTAGTGCCTATACCATTTTTCATTCACACTAGCAGTGGACGCAGGTTCTCATTTTTCTGTGTCTTGCTATATATTGTAATTTGTAAAATTTCAAATGCAGGATTTTTCTTTGATCTCTCATATACAAAGGAGAGAGGGAGCAATCAGAATCTTTTTTAACAGCCCTGCATTAATCTTTGACTGAAACTTTATTGATATAGTGCTTTAAAATCGAAAAACAGAACATTGAAAATTGAATAGGGTTTTGCTAGGGTGCAAGGCAGTGGTGATCATCAAGCTCTGTGGTATAGAAGCATGAATCAATTATACCCAAAGCAAGTATATGAAATGTACGAGAGCCAGAAAATGTTTATCTGCCTTGGCCCACTGTTTCACTCTTAGGAATTGAGCCTAAATAAATATCCATGATATGGGCAATGGATTTCTCTATAAAGATGTTCACCTAAGTGTAATGTATAGTTGAAAATTTTGGATGCATGTTTGATTTTCAATAGTTAATACCTAACATATAGTACATAATAAAATAATGTCATTAAGAATAGTATTTAAAGCAGGTTTATATAGGAAAATGTTTGCAAAGATTATTATATAACACCAGGCACAGGGGCGCATGCTTGTCCTCCTCGCACCTGTGAGTATAGGCAGGAGGATTTTAAAGTCATCCTACATAGACATGTTTATAGTCATCCATACATAGACAGGTCAGGATCAGCCCGGGCTACATGAGACTGTCTTAAAACAAACAAACAGAATATTAGCAACAAAAGCATTGCACAAAATTATATGCACAGGTGCACAGGGGCTGGTGAGAGGCTCGGCGCTTTGGAGATCAGCAGCTGCTCTTCCAAATGTCACAGGTTCAATTCTCAGCACCCACGTGGCAGTTTACTGCTCTCTATAACTCCAGTTCCAGATGTTCAAATGTTGTCTTCTGGCCTCCATGGGCACTGCAGGCAGGGGGTATGTAAACATACATGCAGGCAAAACATGCAAAGTAAAAAATAAAGGAAGAAAAAAAATCTAAAAACTGTACATCCAATATGATTATAAATTAAATATATGCATTAAAGTGACTAGAAGGGAAGATAATGTGAATAATTTTATTTTGTATGTAGACAACTATTAAAGACAATTGAAATGTTAAGCATTGCTATAAAGTCGCCTTGGAAAGCTACACGAACCCTAGCACTTCTTGAAAGCATACTAAGCAGTAATTTTCTTTTTTTTTTTTTTTTTTTTTTTTTTGTTTTTGTTTTTGTTTTTTTGAGACAGGGTTTCTCTGTGTAGCTTTGCGCCTTTCCTGGAACTCACTTGGTAGCCCAGGCTGGCCTCGAACTCACAGAGATCCGCCTGGCTCTGCCTCCCGAGTGCTGGGATTAAAGGCGTGCGCCACCACCGCCCGGCTCTAAGCAGTAATTTTCTGATTCCAAGAAAGTAAAGTATGTATTCAATCACTCAGAGAAGCAGGAGCTTCCAATTTATCTCATGTAAGATGTCTGAAAACTTTTAGAAAAATAATCATGTAATTCATCAAAATATTTCTTCTTGTGAAATCTTTTGCTGAATAAGCATGCAATCCTCCAGTGTTCATAGGCCATACTAAAAGAATGAGACCCTTTTGCTCAGGTTAAACATTTCACTTTTACAATATTAATTGTGAATGTTACATGTGAACTTGTTACAATATTGATGACTGAACCATCTATTAAACTACGGTGTTTTCCTATTTGTTCACTAGAAGTTCAAGAGAATATAAAGTTCCTATTTTCTGGCAAAAGCAAAACCCACTGTGGGCTGGAGAATGAGTATGGATCCCAGCACTCACATAAAAATCTAAAGCTGGGCATGCCAAAGCTACCTATACCCCAGTACTATGGGACGCAGAGTCTCTGAGGCTTAATGCTTCCAGCCTACCTCTATGTTCAAAACCCTGTCTCAGGGGAATGAAGAAAAGAACCATAGAGCAGAACGCCCAACATCCTCTTCTGCCCTGTGCTCATACACCAATCTGCAAAGGGAAAATGCAGGCAAAGAAAAGTCAATTAAATAGAACTGGTTAACTGAGCTTCATAGGCTAGACTAGTCCTTTATAATTCAGCACCATTAATATGCAACATTTGGAATAGTCTGTCAATTATTTGCAGAACGGATCGCTAGTGGATCCAGCTTGCACATTATCCAGTGCATATACCTCTCTGATCACTGGAGTCTGACCATTTCAGAGGTTTTTGTTAATGCACACACTAAACTTGGAGTACATCACAGTACATCCCTACATCCAAGAAATGCATCATGGAGAACTCCGTGAGGTAACAATACATACAATATAGTCCAGAGACAAGAGGGGCCACTCCCATAATAATGTCCATGTTATTGATTTCTGGCATCTGTGTGTCAACAGATTTTTTTTTTCTCTTCCAGCCATGGCATGTCTTACCCAATTTCAGGGTTAGTGAAGACATATAAAGCCAAGGAATACAATGTGGATCACCCTCTGGTGGTAAAAAAAAAAAAATCTAATAATAAATTACTCAACTAAATCTTATAATTGTCACAATTTCTACAAGTGCATTTTTTAGTGGGGGTGGGGCTGGGATGGAACTCAGGACCTTATGCATACTGGCAAGAACTGTGCCACTAAGCTGCATCCCCAGCCCATACTGCAAGTTCTGTTCTGAGTATTCTGGTCATATCTAGAGTATTACGAAAGAAAGCTTTTCTGTCCCTCTCTCCCCAGCCCCATGGCCTCTCTGTGGTGCTCACATCTCCAGCAGTGTTCACCTTCACAGCTCAGATGTTTCCAGAGCGGCACCTGGAGACAGCAGAAATATTAGGTATGAGCCATCACTCACCCCTCTGTGGCCCTCCAAGATGGAGTGTTGTAGCTGGCATTTTCTTTGGGCCGCCAAAGACATGGAGATTCATTAGTAATTATGAATACTCGGCCTTAGCTTAGGCTTGTCTCACTAGCTCTTTTAACTTAGTTTAACCTGTTTCTATTCATCTACATTTTGCCTTGGGGCCTTTTACCTTCCTTCCATTCTGTTATGTCCTACTTCCTGCTTCCTCTGTGTCTTGCTAGCTGGTCCCTGGCATCTCCTTTTCTTTCTTCCTCAAGCCTAAATTCCTTCTCCCATTTACTCTTCCTGCCCAGAAGTTCCATCTATACCTCCTCCCTCACTATTGGTTCATTCAGCTTTTTACTAGACCAATCAGGTACAAACAAAACAAGCAAGGCAAAACAGCAACACATCTTTACATAGTTAAACAAATGCAACACATCTTTACATAGTTAAACAAATATAACACAACAAAGTGTTTCCCAGGAACAATAACAAAAGCTGTTGCTTTGGAGCAGCCCAGTGATAAAATGCTAACACCTGGCTAAAGCCCTGGGCAGCATTTAAATACCATAATTTTAGGCTTCTAAGGATCTGTAATAAAGTGGAACCTAATACTGATTCTATTTGTCCTGATGCTATTTGCTGTGCTTTCACTGCCATAGGAAGTATTGCTCGGCATGCAGGTAATGTCTTCACTGACTTTTGCTTTGCTGAGTCACCGATAAAATGAATCAAGAAAGCAGCAGTAACCCCCAACCACAGAGAAGCTAAACAAGGAACAAAAGCAATTCCAAATGAGCGATCTGTTTGCCATACTGCCGAATAAGGAATCACTCTAATGAGATGCCCACTGTGCCTTTTGACACAGAAATAAAATTATATTCTGGATAGCCATAGTACGAGGTAAAGAAAAAAATCTTGGTATTTTTCTGAAAAAGAGCTCTATTTTTAGGTGACTTGGAGGACTTGATTAACTTGTAGAACGTCTTATTCCCCTACTTGTGTTTAGGGTGGGTGGGAAGAGAAAGGTCGCAATGAAAACTTGATTCTTCATTATGCCCTTGTAGCTTGAGCCGTTGGAGAGATTATTCCCAAGGAGGCAGGAACGACCCGACCGCAGCCATCCTCCCCCAGGCTGCTGCCCCGGCCCTCCCTCTCACACAGCCCTTTTGTGTGCCCTGCAGCTCCAGGTGCTGTGCTGAGAATGTTAATGTCAGCAGCCCAGGACTTGGAGCCAAACCCAGGCTTCAGTTTGCAGTGTGTTCTGTGTGAGCACACTGGCAGATTTACCGGGGCCTGAAACCCTTTTCCCTTTAGGGACGGGAATGCACGGTCATGAGGGATATAGCTGTGGCCTTTGTAAATATGAGGATGGTAAAATTTAAGGGGAGGGGTCCCCAAACTGTAGGCTAGATCTACTGTAAATAGGGAAACCTTAGTGAATTTACAGGGCATGTTCCAGGCAGCACAGACATATGAGAAGGCAGATCCTCGGTTAAACAAAACTGGGTGAAGAACACTGCAGTTTTTCCTAATTGCTTAGGAATTTCAATATTATCCCATATTGCCAGTTGACGACGTTAATTCTCTATGAAAGCTTGTTTTTTGTTTTTTGTTTTTTTTCTTAGCTAGACCGGTTCAGTTTCTTTCATATGATCTTTTTTCCCCCCCTAAAAACTGCTTCGTAGGAGAGCATAAAATTTGTACAGTGTGTTCAGTGGCAGCCATCCCAGGATCATAAAACCGTAACCCCATACCCGGGGTCACGCCTCTCACCTAATCCGCTCTCAGCCGCCGCTGGGTGTGGCAGGCAGCTCTTGCCTGGTTTACCTTTCATCCTGTTGTTCTCCGTCTGGCCCTGTATCTGGTTCTGTTTACCTTTCCTGGGTCTAAAGCTGTCCTGACCCTCGCAGAAGGAAGAGGCTTAGTCTGACTTGCACCGTGCTGCCACGAGGTGCTCTCCTTTGCAGACATTTTGTTTCTGCGTTATCCAGCAGGACCCCTGTCTGCAATGCTAGCCTTGTGGGCTGCACAGGTGTTCCCTTAGCTACCTGGGAGGCAGGGCAGGTGCTAAGGGGTGGGAAAGCTGTTCCCTTCCCCTGGGAAGTTTCACACTCCCTGCCTAAGAGCATGCCCTTCTACACTGATATCTCCGTCATTGTTTGTGCTATGAGTCTTTAAACTTCTGTCCTTCAAAATCTCCAAACCTTCTTCACATAGTTATCTTCACAGGAAGCACTGTTCCCTGAGTCTTCGCGGCTTTGTTCTCCTCAGCTCACACAGAGACATTTTTCTAAAAGGAACACCCCCTAACCTTTGGCAACATAGACAAAAAAAAAAATTAAATTTTAAGGTATAAAGAGGAAACCTTTCCTCTCCCAGTCACACGTAACAGAGTTTTGTCATCGCATTTTCTTCCTTTTGGTGGTCAATATGTGGCGTTTGAACTCTACATCCTTGCCTCAAGCTGTTTGCAAAAGCCTCATGTTTTTCTATGTTGCTGTTAGAAGACGTTGACCGCGCACACCTCTAGATGTCAGTAAATACTACGTCTTGAGAGCCTCATACGCTGTGCCCTACAAATACGCCATCCCCACATCCCAGCGCCAGCCGTATTTCCTGCCCTCTGTCACCGGGACAAATCACAAGTCCCCTCCAACTGTGAGAGCTGAGTGCCCCAGGCAGCTCGTCTTAAAGAACTGTTGGCTCCTCAGCCTGGTCTTGCCAATGTGTCCTCTGTGGGCCTGACCACTGACCACAGAGACGTCCCAGGGAATCCTAGCAGTGCCCCGGACCTCAGTATTAGGAGGTGGCGTTAGGTACAATTCACATATTCAGTGATACTGTGACTGAGATACACCTGGAAGTTGCTTCCCTGTCTTCTTATGGTCTGCACTTTTATTCTAGGAGCCGATATCCGCACTGCCAGGACCCAAGATGCCGGGCCTGTGTTGGCAGATACCCTCCGACAATTCCTGTTTGACCTAAATGTGGATGACGGTCTCTCTGCCCTCGGTTACTCCAAGAATGACATCCCTTCCCTGGTGAAAGGGACGCTGCCCCAGGTAAGATGCGCGGCAAGGCCTTCATGCCTGCGAAGCACAGAGCCAGAGGGGACCAATACCCGGGGCTGCTAGTGACCTTGCAACACCCCTCTCGGCCGCTAGAGGACGCCCAGTGCAAAAGTAGCCTGGCCCCTGTGCCTTTATGACCGTCCATGTGGCAAAACTAAAAGGATCCTTTATGAAAAGTCCAAGATGCAAACTGCTACACTGACGTGATCTATGGCAACCCCTCCCTCCCCACATTTCTGCTGTTTGGGCAGTTCCCTATGAGAAGGTGCAGAGCTGTTCCAAAAGGACCGCCGACGTGATTTTCCACTCTAGATCATCAGATTCCTACTGTCCTGTGGAATACAAGCATAGCTCTTCAGTTGAAACTAGTTTATATTTGGGTCATTTGGGGAAATTGTACATTTCGTACACATCTGTGTCCCTCTGCACCTTATTTCATTTATTTAGATTTTACTAAAGAATGTAAACTAAATGGCTCACACTTATAAAGTAGAATCGTTATGGATATAAAGCTCCCCCTCCCAAGAACCACATGAAGATGTAATCTCTGTTTGGACTTCTCTGGAGCTAGTACACCAGACCAAATGGGCCAAGATCCTGATTCACTGCAGTGTACTCTAAAGTAGGGCGCTCAGATCCACAGCCCGGAGTGGGTGGACCACGCCGTGCTTACACACCCAGTGTGCTCCGAGTCCCCCTAGTCAATATGGAAAAGCAGGGAAGCAGGGGTGGCCGTGGGGCTGCTTTGTCCAATGGTAAGCGTTCACAGACCCCCCTCTGGCTCTGGGACACCAGACAGCTAGAAAACCACCCATGCAGCACCCTACTTACCACAAGCACCTTTTCCTCACCCCACCCCAGGAGAGCAAGGGCTCAACCTAGCCCGGCCTTCCCCACCCCATCACTGTCGATGACCTCACCATTCATAGAAGACGATTGTGCAGTTTGATCTCCCAGGTTCCTATGTCCACAGAAGCAATGAACAGAACAGCAATGAGCAAAATAATCCGAGGCAACAGAATGTAGGGAACCTCAGTAAACTGGAAACACGTTCCATCCACCTGGATGAGCAACCTTTAGCTACAATTATCGTTAAGTGTAAATTTAGATTCCTGTGTGGGTAGACTTTCCTACTTTTAAGAAAAATTATCAACTGGGTGCTTCCTGCTCCCAGTTTCCTGGCTTCTCAGTATACTAGTGAAGTATGGCCCCTGGACCACTGGTTTCCCTGACTCAGATTCAAGCCCAGTGGATCCATTTGCATCTAACAGTGTAAAGGCGTGAGGAACACAAGTGTCTTGAGACATAGCATAGGTGTTGAGCTGTCCCACAAATCCGTAGTTCTAACCTGTTGAGCCAAAATGTAAGTAAGGCCGCTGTAGTTATTTTAGCCCAGCCTAGAACTGATGAAGGCAGGGTCTGCTCGGCTCCTGCATCCTCTGCTGCACCCAGAACAGGCTGGCAGGCATGCCGAGTGGGCTCATCCCTGCAGCAGCTTCTCCTGCTAAACCTCTGTCCAGGTGAGCGAGTGGTTTCCTCAGGCTGAGTGAAACAAAGACAGCCATGAAGACTTGTCCAGGAATTCTACAGACCTAGGGCCACCATGATGTCACAGTGGCCTCTGGCTTCCTAGCATTGTCTCGGGGACACTGTCTTCTCTGACGTTTATCCCAGGACTGTGCACAAGAATACGAGTGTTTGAGACCAGTGAGGTGGTTCAGCAGGTAAAGGTGTTCTCTGCTAAACCTGAACGCCCTGAGTCAGTGCCTAGGACCCACATGACAGAGAGAACTGACCGCCACAGGCTGTCCTCTGACCGCCACATGTGTGCCATGGTGTACACATACACACGTAGTAAATAATAATAATGTAATTTAAAAATAAAAAAATATGAATTCGCTTACTTCCAAGAATTATTAGGCTAGCTGGGGTTTGTAACTTGAAACAACTGGACTCCCCATGGAAGGGAAATTCCCAACTCAGGAATTGCCTCCGTCGGAGTAGCCTGTGCTCTTGTCTGTAGGGCTTTTTTGTTGTTGGTGGTTTTGATTAGTGATGTGGGAGGGCCCAACCCACTGGGAGTGGCGGTGCCCCTGGGCAGGTGGTCCTCCGTGGTGCATATGAAAGTAAACTGAGCAAGCCCTGGAGAACAAGCCGGTAGGCAGCATTCCACTGTCGTCTGCTTCAGTCCCTGCCTTGACTTCTCTCCACGGTAGACTATAACCTATAAACCAAATAAACCCTTCCCTCCCCAAGGTGCTTTCGGTCATGGTGTTTATCGCAGGCACAGAAACCAAACCAGGACAGAAATTGGTTCCAGAGAGTGTGCTATGGTGGTGATGGACATGACCATATTGTTTTGGGAGAATTATGGAAGAATTTGGGAGGTTCGGGCCTGAGAAGGCCGCTGGGTGCTCAGAGCTCGTGAGGCTGTTATGGGAGCCTGGAAGACAGCAATGTTAAGGAGAGGTGCAGACGACGGGGCCTGGCTTGTGAAGTTCACCGGGAAGACTGAGAGTCCCTCAAGGACTATTGGACCATTTGGTTGATATTTTGAATATTTGAATGTGGTTTCTGGTTAGCTGGGACCGAATAATCAACTGTGGTTATGAGTAGACCAGCACCACTTAAACAAAACCTTTGCTTTCCTGAGATAATTGATCCTGGTTAGCTGGGACTGAAAAATCAACTGTGATTAACATCAGAGACCAACATCTCTGAGACCCCTCCTGGGGAGTGTTTCTTCAGGGTCAGCACACAGAAGCCGTGGTCCAGAGGGACCAAGGCTGCATCTCAAGCTGGTAGCCAAACTTGGTAATGTGTAAGAGCCTCCCACATGGTACTGGTTTGGGCATCATGAAAGCAAGCCAGGAAACAGTGTTCCTCCATGGTCACTGCTTCAGATCCCGCCTCCAGGTTCCTGCCTTGAGTTCCTGCCCACGCTTCCTTCAGGGTTAGACTGTGACCTGGGGAGCTGTTAAGATGAAATCAGCCCTTTCCTTCCCTGAGGTGGTTTTGGTCAATGTTTTATCACAGTAACAGAGAGTCCTCACTAGAACAGAAATAACCATCAGATGAAGAACTGGTGTGGGGGTTTCTGTTTTGTTTTGTTGGCAGCAGTGAACATTTTACAGGAATGCCATAGCAACCTCAGAATTTCACACAGTGGGCCAGTCTTCGCTCATTAATATCTACCAGATTTGAGGTAGTCGGATGTACTGGTCCCTGCAAAGAGCCTTACCAGAAAGTTTGTTTTATAGAGTCCACGTCTGATAAAGACTCTTTTATGTTCAGCAGCCAGGGGTCAGTTTTCTCTAGAAAGAATGAGCAGGCCAGTTTCCTTAACCAAACACAGCCTGTGCTGGTGGCAGCGAATGGCAGCCCATGTGCTGAGGCTTCCAACTGCAGGGCCAGCTGCAGAGGGAGTGGGCAAGAGCAAACTAATCTTCAGAGCTACATTTCCGAAACCTCTGGAAAGAAACATTTACATTTCAAATCCAAACATTTCATTACTGACTGGGGAGAGCTGTCTGCTCAAGTGAGCACTCCCACTCTTGGTAGACAGACCAGCTGAAATGGTGTTATTTTATGAATGTGCTAAAAGTAGAAGTATTTATTTCAGTGCCCGTGCTAATCAGCTGTTCTTTGGTCTTCATGTCTGTAAATAATAGCACATTGCTCAACACATCTTCATTCTGAAATCATTTGGCTTTTATATGACATAGGATCAGACACTTTGTCTCTGTGTGTATTTGCCCAATCACTGGGGTTGGAATGTGAAAGAGAAAGCTGGCAGTGACTTGAATAGCTGCTCCTGAAAGTCCAGAGCTGCCTCCCCAAAGGGGAACAGATCCTGCAAAAGACTCTGGGCTTATCAGAGGACTTTCTTCTTTGTTATAACAAAATGTTATGGAAACTGTTACCATCCTCACCATCATCTCTGGTCAGAACACATACTGAAAGCCAGCTCTCCATCCTGCCACAAACTAGATGGATAGATAGATAGATAGATAGATAGATAGATAGATAGATAGATAGATAGATAGACAGACAGATAGTAGATAGATTATATGTAGATCGATTATAAATAAATAGATGATTGACTGCAAATAGGTAGATGATAAAATTCAGATATGTAGGTAGATAGATAGATAGATAGATAGATAGATAGATAGATAGATAGATAGGATAGACAATAGATACATAGATAGATGATAGATTGATTGATAGATAACAAGATCTGCTAGACTATAAAAATTTTGCCTTTGTCTCACCCATATTCAACAGCATTCCTCCCACTTTCTCTAAGATGTCATCTATCCTTCTTTCTCATTTTTATGTTTTAATTGTAGTAAATTAAAACTAATTTATCATTTTAATAACTTTTAAGTGCTCAATGGTATTTAATACATCTATGGTACAATACAATCACCACTATCCCCTGGAGACCTTTTTTTAGCATCCCAAATAGCTCTACATCCACTGAACAACTACCCTATTTTTGCCTTTCTCACAGCCCCTAGATCTTAAGATCTTTTTCCTGTCTCTCAAAGTGCCAGGAGCCTCATGTATGTGGAATCGTGCACTGCCAGTCCTCCTGTGAGGAATCATGCACAACCCTAATGTGTTGACCAATGTTGTAGCATGTGTCAGAATTCTCTTCCTGTTCATGGCTGAGTAATATTTCCTTACGTGGATATACCACATTTTGTTTATCCATTCCATACATGGGTTAAAAGACACTTGGGTTCTTTGCACCTTCTGGCTGTTTTGAATACTGGTGTACAAATGTATTATCTTAGTTAGGGTTTTATTACTGTGAAGAGACACCATGATC